CGTAGCTAGGCGGGACTTTGCTGCAAGCGGGGCTCTTTTTTCTAGGAATCCTTCCGTTTCCAGTGCTACCAGAATCTTGTTTCTCAGAAAAGTCCCGTCTAGCAGGGACTGTAGCCATGTGTGATAACCTTTTTATATGAAGAAGTAGTCCTCCAGTGTCTGTGTCTTTTGAGAGCCAATAAAGAAAGGAGTGCTGCAGAACGTGTCCTTCAAGAATTTCAAGATATTTTCTCCCACTCATCCTCTGATATAGGTTGAACCAGCTTGCCACAACATAGAATTGATATATGGGGGATAAAAAATATAGTCAGTGGTGATATCTGGCATGCACTTTTACAGATAGAGTTATTAAAAATAAGCTAGGGAATTTTTGAGATTTTTATGCTGAGAGAAAGAAAATGTGGTGAAGGTTGTCCACCATATAAGGGTAATTTTTGGTATAAAGTCTAGTTATTTTCTATTGGGGCAATTATTTCGATGCATTTGTCACAAGTATCAAAGGAACAGAGTTCTGTTGTTCAGAAATTAGATAGATATTTTTATATTGATAATTGTATAATTTCAGTAGACAATGAAAAGGAGCTTGTAAATTTTGTAAGAAATTCTACTGAAATATTAGTGGATAGCAAAATTGGACTTGTATATGAAGACTATGGTGTGATAGAAAAAGATGGTTTAGTTTCCAGAGTTTAGCGGGAAACCAATAATGGTGGAAAATGCCGTACCAGTTTTAGGGATTATGTGGAACAGAAAATGAGATAGCCTTTTTGTTGAAATTTAGACTGCATTGTTTTCTGAAAATTTGTGTAAAAGAGATCCCCCCCCACCAGTAATGTAGACAATGTTTGATCTTTTGGGTTTCTTGACACCTGTTTTTTATTACTTGCGATGAGAAATTTGTGTGATAAAAGTAGACTGGGATACTCCATTACCAGAGAGTATTAAAAATTTATGAAATAATATTATAAAATACAAATTCTGAACAAATGGAGAATATCACCACTTGTAGGGCTTGGAGATAGAGGTTTCTGGTCACTTTATGTATTTTGTAATCCAGTATGCTACCATCATAATTTTTTTGAAGTGGGAAACTAAAGGAGAAATATTAGTCCATTTTGTAAAGGCTAAGTTAAGAATCGTACCCTTAAAAGAAATTACCATTCTCCGCCAAGAACTTATGGCATATGTTTTGGGCTTAGGTTTCCAATGCATGACAAAAGCATATCTTGGATTCAAAGGAATGATGTGTGGGGTACTTTTGTGAGCAATGGCATTAAGGAAATTTGCACTTTCGCGAAAGCAAATCAGTGGTCATATGTACCAGGTCATTCTAACCTGCCTGATTTGCCTTCTCATTGTTGTTCCCCTCTTCAGGTTTCCAAATTAGATTGGTGCAGCTGCCCTGTTTGGCTGATATCTGTCCAAAATTAGAGATTAAGTGAAATGAAACTTTAGTTTTTTTTGGAGTGTAGGAAAGTAATAAATTTAAATATAAATCTTAGTTTAACTTCAAAAGCTGATAAAATTAAGTGGCATGAGAAGTTTCTAAATTTCCAAAAATGATAAGAGTTTTATATTGGGTAAAGTGACTTATCAAAAATTGCCAAAAGAAAATGATAAATCAAGACCCTTTCCTGTCTGCTTCCGTGATACAGAAATCTTAAATCTTCCTTCAGAGAGTTTTCCAGAGATTGGAGGCTCCATTATGGTCTTTTGACTATGCAAGATCAGAGTGACTTAACGAAGACTAAAAACAAAAATCACAGAAAGAGATGATTCTTATGCATTCCGATACCAGAATTTATTATTTGCGATGAATTTTTTTTTTCCCTATCAATTTTTTTGTTTAGGTCATTCTAATGGGCTGTCCCATCAACTAAAAATGCTAAGTAACGCTTGAAAAATGGTTCCTTTAACGTCCTAGTTTTCTTGCCTTTTTCTTCACTATTTCATCAATCAAATCAGCAAACCTTTTCAAAGCCTTTACATGGCTCAATCACCATACTTCAGAGTAATATGTGAGGGATCACTGTGTGGTGCATCTGTGTGTTCTAGGATTTCCTTAAATTGCCTGAGGTTTAAACCATGTGAGCAAATAAAATTGATTTTATCACTCAATACCTTTATTAGACTGTCAAATCCTAGTTCTTTTGCACACAACTGTTCATGGTGTATGATACAGTGATACCCAAGCAAATCTTTGCGTCAATCATCCATATAGTTTCTCAGTAGACTCACCCTGCCATTTTGAATTCTTATCATGGCTTAAGCTCCATCAGAAGTGATATAACAAGTTTGTTAGTATCAAAATTATGTGCAGAAGACAAATTTAAAATGGAGAATAAATTATCAGCTACAGTTGTGTGCCCCTTGATTGAACTCATTCCAACAAGTTCTTCAGTTACTTCAAAATTTTCAGAAATTCCTCTAACAAACAAAAGCAGCTGAATTGTTAAAGCAATGTCTGTTGAGTTTTAAATGGTACATATTTATTTCCCTTGGCAAATGAAGCTGAATAAAATTTAGGTTAAGGGTAGAAATGCAATGATGACTAAAATATTATTTAATTCCTTTTAGAATATATATGTAGCGTATTCGGAAACTAAGTACCATTTCATTCTAGCGCCATCGCAGCGCTGTGGTAGGTGTCCCTCGCATGCGCACTAGTCTTTCTTGTTCACTGACTTTCAATTGTCGCCATTTTGATTGCTCTATGTTGTGTTTTCAGTTTGCTGTGCATATTCAAAATGTTTAAGACAATTAGTTCTCCCGCTGACTGTGAGATTCATGCTGTGATTAAATTTTTGAACGCGAGGAATGTTAAACCGGCCGAAATTTATCGTCAAGTGACAGAAGTTTACGGTGAATACGCGATAAGTGATGGAATGGTGAGAAAGTGGGTAAGAATGTTTAATGCAGGTCGAACAAATGTCCACACTGAGGCTCGGAGTGGTCGGCCTTCTGTTGTCACCGATGATTTGGTAAGGAAAGTTGATAAAGCAATTCACGAGAACAGACACTTCACAATGACAACTCTTTCAGAGGCATTTCCACAAATTTCACGTACTGTTTTGTTCGAAATTGTGTCTGACCGCTTGAATTATCGCAAATTGTGTTCCCGATGGGTTCCAAAAATGCTCACTGATGTTCACAAAACAAAGCAACTTGGTAGTGCCCTGACATTTCTCATGCGGTACAGTGATGAGGGCGAAAACTTTTTAAACCAAATTGTGACAGGTGATGAAACTTGGGTGTGTCATTTCACACCAGAATCGAAACAACAATCGATGGAGTGGAGACACACTCATTCTCTGAAAGAAACAAAAGTTCAAAGTGACAATGTCATCACAAAAAATCATATGCACTGTCTTCTGGGATAGGAAAGACGTTTTGCTTACTGAATTTCTTCCCAGAGGTGAAACCATTAATGCGGCACGATATTGTGAGACTTTAACAAAACTAAGGCGTGCCATTCGAAACAAACGAAAAGGAATTGTGTTGCTCCATGACAATGCTCGGCCCCATACTGCTGGTGTCACTCAATTGTTAATTCGCTAGTTTCATTGGGAGCAGTTCGATCACCCGCCGTACAACCCGGACTTGGCGCCGTCCGACTATCACTTGTTCCTGCACATGAAGCGCGAGCTTGGTGGCAAGCGCTTTGGATCTGACGATGACACGAAAAATGCTGTGGAGTCGTGGTTATCGAAACTGGTGGGAAGTTTCTTTGACGATGGTATACAAAATCTGGTCACCCGCTATGACAAGTGTTTGATCATTGGCGGAAACTATGTTGAAAAATAGTTTAAGACATGTATTTTCATGTAAAAATAAAATTGGATTCGAAAAAATTGTTTTACTTTTTTTTTTTTTTTTTTTTTTTTTTCAAAACGGTACTTAGTTTCCGAATACGCCTCGTATAATCTGGAAACTTTAGATAGATGCTTCTAACTTGATGTCCCTACAAATGCAAATTAATTATTGGCAATAAAACTGGAGCTAGAAATAAAAGATAGTTCTGCCATGTAGATTGCTGAAATAAAGAAAGTTTCTTGATAAAATACAAACAATTCAAAATAAAATTCTGCAAAATCAAGAAATACAAAATAAATAAATAAATATGTGCTAAGTTCTTTTTCCTTGCATAAACAAGCGTTTAAAGTTTGAAGCATTTTATTTTAATTTATAGTATTATTCAAAGTAATTTTTCTTTCGTATTATATATATATATTTGTTGTTATTTTTATATATTGAATTATTCCATAGATTGAACATTTGGGGTTAAAATTTAATATTTCATAAAGTGAGTTTGAATGTTTCAATCTTTGTATAAACACCATAACCCCACATTATGATTAAGTTCTAGAAATTTTAGGGAATAAATTTGCAAAAATTATTTACTGCATGTTTGAGTATAGGAAAAGTTAATTTTTAATTATGTTAATTTTGCACTAAATTATTAAAGTGATTCTTAATGAAAAATTATTTAAAAATGTAACTATTGACAAAGTGTATGCAATCCCTTATTGCTCTTTGGAAAAAGGAGGCTATATTTGCTTTTGCTTAAAATTATTATAGAATATAGAGTAATCTTTTCATTCATTCAAAATCTTATCTGTAGTTGGAACAAAAATCTTCAAAAATCTTTGATAAATTTATATGAAAAACAATTTTTTTAAACTTTTATTTGAATTCCTCACAAAATTATTAACCATTTGTTAAGTCATTGAAGTTAGTTTCAAACTTTCATCATGAAATGATGGAATCAAGATATGTTTGCAGTCTGCTAATATAGTTTATGATAAAGTTATCTCATTTAATTTAGAAATATTACATTGCTATATTTATACAAGAATTATTAACTTGTTCATTTTTTGTAATATAAAATATTTTTACATTAGAGTTCTTTTTTTTTTACATTTTTAATTCAGTTTTAATTTTCCCCCTAACTTCTTTATCATTATACTGATCTTTAAATTATTCATATCATTTATTTTCAGTATGTCAAGGATGATTCTTGTTATGCAGAGAATGCACTATTTGTGAAGAAAAAGGAAAATTTAGTATGTGAGCTGTGGATGTTAGAAAATTCGTATGAAGATAAAGTAAATAAATATAGCATGTACATTGAAAAATCAACTGGAGCTCCAGTTCACTACATTATGAAGGGTTACAATAGTTTGCTAGGTTCTCATTATGACAAATATGAATTGTATTACATGGAATATGCTGTAGGAAACACAACAGATGCAGACTTTGAAGTGCACACAGGTAAGCAGCATTATTACCAGCCTGTTGCTATTTTAAAGTTGTAAAGAGCCTGAAATTAAGAATTTTTTTTAAAAGTGCTTAGTAAAATATAAGGGTCAATCAACGTTCAGCATTTTCATTGATACTGAACTTTAATACAAACTTTCCTAAGTTATGAGCATTTATATATTTTCAAAATGATTTAATCTACCTTTAAATTGTTGCATAAATATCCTTTAGGCAGGTACAGATGTAAATGGGGCAGATTACGAGTTATTCACCTTTGATAGTACAGGTGTAATCCCACTGCATTAGCTATTAAGCTCAATTCCAATTTGGAGAACACATTGGGAGGTCCTACTATCTCTTACCCCCACTTCTCCTACCACCTGCCATTCCAGAGGTCTTTTGACTCATCATAACATCTATAACTTCTCTGGGATTCGAACCTGAGCCCAATGATACAGTTAGGTATCACAAACCATTATACCAACTAGGGCGGCATGACCTTTAAATATGAGAATAGTACTTTTTTGGTACTTCCATATTAGCATAACCACCTTCCTCGGACCCATCCCACCTCCTGGAGTGCTCTGCATCAAAATTGAGGGCGAAACTGAGCAAAATCGCACTGTCACCTGCATGGTACATGAAGCTGTTGCCAGCGACAGGTGTATCTTGGGTGCTCCTTCCTGTCATGAATTTCATGGGCTTAGAATGATGTTGCTGTCAGACAAGTGAGCATAACAAGGCTTGGGATGATGTTGCTGTCAGATAAGTAACAACAACACAATCACCATAACAAAGTCACTGAATTTTTGGTATGTACTCTAACAAGTACTCTGTCATTTTCATGTGCATTCTTTTGTCGGTCAGTATTCCAAGGTACAATGGTTTTTAGAAATAAGTCGTGATTTTTTCATCTTATATGTAATTATAAAATATGTATCTGTTGAGTTACATACAATGGAAGAAGTACTGGTACAGTTTTAGCAGGAATTTAATGGTTTCATTAAATGAATAACTGCTTTGAATTCTTAAAGTGATTGCCACAAAATTTCTAACAAAATAAGAAAAACAAAAATCCTCTTCTGAGTAGATTTTATTGATTAATTTTTGAAATAAATTCCTAATTAAAATATAAAATATATATGTAATAATACACATGTAAAAAATAAATTTTTGTTCTTATCACTATTCTTTTTCTTCAGTAAAAAATTGCTTAAGTGCATTAATGTTAAAGTACTGCTTATTTGTTCTGGGGGGAAGGACATACAATAGTTGGGAATCTAATGGAAGAATGTAACAATTTTTAAATGTTAGGATTTCTGTTAAACCAAAAGTATTATAGATATTTAGATAATTTGTTAAATTTTACAGGCACAGATAGGGTCATTGAGAATGTAAGAAACTTTCCAAGGTGCTAATGGTTATGGCGCTGCTCTGTCAACTGATATAGACTGTTTAACCTGATATAGATGAAATATTAATTGCAGCTGTAGAATTCACACAAACAAATAATAAACTTATCAGTAAGAAGAGATCTAATAGTACTTCTAAAAAGAAAGAAAGATAAACTAATGGTAAATTTATTAAATTCATCATCTTAACCACGTCATTGTTAGCTCATCACAAATTCGTAGCTGTTAGACCAAGTTCTTTACTTCATTGCAATAAAAGAAAGAAATTTTCATATGCCATCACTTGGATAATTTCATAACGATGCCATGTCGTAAAAATACTAGCACCTCTGTACAAGTGACCGACTGTGCCAAAGCAGAACCTTCACATAAATATCTTTATTAAATCTACTTTTTCAAGTTATAAACTGAACTTCATGAAGATGCTAAAGCACCCTTATGTCTTGGCAAAATAAAGCCAGTTTAATGATAGGACCTCGTTATGTATTTATCTGTTGCACTAGCATCTCTAAATAGATGCTGCTAACTGACATTTATTTCAAAGGAGACTGAATGAAATTAAAATGCAGAATATAAACTATTAGCCATCCAAAATCCAACACCATGAAGGAATTTTCAAGTCACCAGATACACTTGAAATTTGTGCCATGCATAGATCTTGATTGGACTGCAGATTGATAAACACTGCAGGGCATATTACCAGTAAATGTAGGTAAACTCAATTTTGGGAGCTTTACATCTGGGGCTATTTTAGAACAATTATCAACACTTATTTTCTACATTTTGCAGTTCATATATTGGGGAGGTAAGACTGAACATTCTCTTTCTAATGGAATACTTTATATGGTAAGCATTTGAACCTTTCTTGCGACAAGCCCGTTCAAAGCCATCTTTAATCTTTACATTTGACCATATGCATCTCCTTCATACAAACAGGACAATTATAATTCCGTTGAATTACATCTAACAAAGTTTCCTTTTTTCTGTTCTCAACCACTTCAAAAAAAAAAAAGCCACCTTTCTTTCTCTCGTTCTATACCACCAAACACCCACTCTACCACCGGCAGCCATTTTATGATGCACAGTACTCAACACGTTATGTACTTCCTAACTGATACGTAACAAATATTTTCCCATCAGTCAAATTCACTGCAATCACTCATAGGGTGTCCATAACATTTGACTACTCAGGTTATCATAAATGAAACAACAACTTCACGATAATCCAAGGGGCACCCTTAAATATACCTTAACCATACTTCATATTATTCTTCCAATAAATGCAACTATAATATATCTTGTTCTACATGGTGCTGCATTTTAGATGGCTAGTAGTGTAAATAAATAATGAAAGTATCTCTATAATATATATTAACATAGTATCTGAACTTATATATTATGTTAACTATGAAATAAAATTTTAAACTGTAAGTTTTAAGAAAAAAATTTTAAGAAAATGTTTTATTAAATTTACTTTAAATTTGAAATCACTAATTCCACGAGCGGAAACAGCATTGCAGCTTATTTGTCACTTGTCATTCTTATTGACTCCAGCAAACTTAAATACGATTCTAACTTATCATATAATTCTGATATACTGTATTTTCCCTTTTGATCAGTAACATTTTTAATAATCAGACCTAATAATTCCCAAATAACTTTCTATAACTTTTTCAGAATTTTCGGCAGTTGAGGGGAAGCTGTGTAATGTCACATAGGCTCGTACCAGTTATGGTCACTTGAACAAGATAATGCATTTTGTCCTCGTTTTTATTTGTTTATCTTCGTGTATTCACTGAAATTGTCCCCAAAATGATAGCCAATCTTTAATTTTGCCACTGAAATCTTTTAATTCTATTTTAGGTAATTTCAGTTTCCATTTGTTTGCATTCGACAGCACACTGCAAATGGATTGTGTTATTTGGCGATTGAAGAATAATTCCGTTTCTTCTCATATTGAATCTAATTTTTCTTTGTATTCTTCAACTTTTATCCATTCACTTTCAAACTGATCATTTGAAGAAAATTCTGAATTTAATATTTGAGTATCAAATGCATTAAGTTCAACAGACTAAAGTAACAAGTTTTGTTTTCACAGATTTTTCATCAGGAATTTTCCTTTTCTAATTCCTGCAAAATTGCATTAATTGTTTTCGTAAAAGACGCTCTGACAGGTTTTCGTTTCTCAATGAATGATTTTATTTCAATAAAAGTAAATTCTATAAAATCAAATTAAATTAAATTCGATAAAACCAATAAAATTACTTTGACTTCTTTTACCGATCACGTCCATCATCAGCAATTGTTCGAGATTTGCAAGAACTAACCATTCTCCTTTCTCCTAATAAACTTAACATAAAATAGTTTTACACCTAATATTCTAGAGCACCATGTTTATTTTCAAAATCTGTAGAACAGCAAGAAACTAAAATAAAGTTCAGATGGTTGCCACTCTTACATTGACAAACTATGAAAGAAAGATAGCAACTGAGGTGTGGTTCTAACAGTTAGTTTTCTTTCAAAACATACAAAATGAAGCAGTTAAGGACGAGATGCTGTTTTTTTTCAGATTCAGAAGCATTTTATGTAATGACAGCAATCTCTGAATTCTTTTGCAAATATGAACTTTCATGGCAAAAGCTGATCGGCATATGCTCAGACAGCATTCTATCAGTACTTGGATATCATTCAGAATTCGTACAGATGGTCAGAGAACAAAATCCCAGTGTTGCTGCTATTCTTTGTGTTACACACTGTCAAACCTTACAGTTAAGATGCTTCCTAAAAAAATCAATGATGTCTTAAAATTATGCATCAAAATTGTCAATCATGTTAAAAGAGTGTGTTAAATACTCAACTTTTTATAGCTCTTTATGAAGATTTGAGAACAGAATATAAAGCACTGTTACTTCATACGGAAGTACACTGGCTGTCAGAAGGAAAGCATTAGCAAGATTATTTTTACGTTGAATTGAAGTGATTCAGTTTTTGGAAACTCAAAATCAAACTGAATTGTATATGGAATTCCAAAAGCCAAGTGTTCAAGTTGTATTAGCTTATCTATCAGATATTGTATTTTTGATTTGTTGAACTTGAAATTATAAAGTAGAGATTCAAACATAATTTATCATTGGAATGCCATCATAGCATATTCTTATAAGTTGCAACTCTGGAAACATAACATTTTAACATTTCACTTCAGTTACTCCTGCTTCCTAAATTATTTGGTATCCTGGAAGAAGCTCACTTTAAGGAGTTTTTAAGGATACTGAAATTAAGAATAAAATATCAAATCATTTGCAGCACCTCACTAATGAATTCAAACATTGCATTTTTAACTTGTGTAATAATAACACTTATAGACTGTAACAGTTCCTCTTCACATTGACATAGATATGCTGCCAGAAACCTTACAAGAGCATGCTTTGGAAATTAAAAATGATTCTGAATCGAAATGTGACTTTGAGAAGATAGATAAGCCATTATTTTAGTTCAAATATCTCAAGGTGTATCCCAGCTTAGCAGGTGCTTGTCGTTTTCAAGCACTTATTTGTGTGAAAGAACATTTTCAGCAGTTCTAGCAATAAAAGAAAAATATAGAAGCAAATTCAATATTGCTTGTGATTTACGTTGCATGCTTTCTTTTACTTAACCAAGAAATAAAAATGTCTTGTGAAAAATATGCAAGCTCATTTGTCATATTTATTTTTTAATTGTTTTTCCTTACCGTATTTGTGTGAAAATAGCTTATTTCTATAATAAAACTGTTATAAATTACGTTTTTTTTGTCTAACTGCCCTTATAGGTAGGTAATGTTATTGGGCAAGGGAAGTGCAGGAATTTTCATTTTTCGCTGTAGGGAAGTGTGACCCAAAAAAATTTGACCCTATAATATAAAAAATGATTAAGACATACATTTGTAATAATAAATAATTTTAATCTAAATTTTTAAAACTTAATTGTATTTTATGTCATTGAAAGCTTTTAACTCTCTGGAAGTGCTGTTTGTCTTTAAAAAAATGGAATACCTTTATACATAGACAGTTAGACAGTTGCAAACAAATCTTCTGTTGATTCTTTGGAGTGCTGGTAGTTGAAATCTAGCACATTGATGGGTCAGTTTTGTTGCTCTAATGGCAACAAACTATCTGAATATTTGTTCATGTTTTGCTCAAGGAAGTGGTATATGCTGAAACTCTTTGATTGTGCACAGATGTCGCTATATTGGTATCCAAAATTCTTATCGCCAATAGTCTTCTGATGTCATTTCCATGCACAGTCTTTCCTGTGTCTCAGATAGTGAATATTTAAACTGTGAAGTAATGGGTCTTGCTAATAAAAGTTTAGCCTGTAATCTCATTAAATGGCAATATATCAATGTGGATAGAAAAATTACTATTTTACATAATCACAGTCAGCAACAAAGTGTAAAATGAATGACTCTGTGAAAAATGTATAACAGCAGTGTTGTGTCATACAGTATCTGTTGTAAGTTATGTGAAAAATGATCATAAGACACTGCCTTCTGAGTATAGTCATTAATATTGGGATATTAAGAAGAAAATTAATTCTGTAATAAATTGAGTTGGGTAGTGTTTAAAAATAACAAGTTTGTCTTTAGAGCTTGCGAAGAAGTTTGTATTTTGCAGCACACTGTAATGTGAAAGCCGAATGTTTCAGAGCTTTCAGTTTCAGCATTAGTTAATGCTATAGATGAGGTCAGATCTGACCGGATTCTTTCTTTCTGGAAGATAATTTTTAAACATTAAAAGTTTCATCTTATCAGTCAGCTGTTTTAATACTGGGGTAAAGTTAAGGCGAAGTCTTTGAAAACTGTATGCATCAAATTTTTCAAAAGTGAAAAGGGAATAACTATCAGTAATTTTGAACAGCATGTAAAGTTGTTAAAAAGCATAAAGCATTTCATGATTTTGAGGCAAAAATTTATGTTTGAGAACTGAATGGAATCAGTATGGCCTATACTTTTACACTGGACTAATGCGTGAATTAATATTGTGAAACGTACCGCGCTGGAAATGAAAAATACTGTCATACTGTCATTAAAAATAGTAGATATTTAAGTATGTTAAATTAAAATCGTAAAAAAAGTTGGACAAAGAGCTGATTTTTAACCCCTCCCTCCCCCCCCCCCAAAAAAAAATTGCTGAAATTTCTCAGTGGGCTAACCTGCTGGATTGCAAGCCTTGGCCAAATAATTCTCTTTGACATTTGCTGAAACAGAAATGATTAACTTGTGATAAAGATTTCGTCTTTCTGAAAGACAAATATTCATTGGTTTTGAAAGCATCGTCTAGAAAAGAAAATTTAATCATCTCTTATGCCTCTTTTAAGTGCAGTCAAGAACAACACAAATCCAACAAGTGAGTGTGAACTAGGCCTCTTGCAGATGAATTAATAGCAACTCTAATAAAAGCTTTGTTATGACTTAATACTGTAATTATTTCTGAAAGGACATCTGACAAGAATTCCTAAATATTGTGCGTGTTTCTGAAAGGACATCTGACAAAGACACCAAAAGCAAGAATATAGAAAATATTAATGAATAAACCTTGTACAATCTGTTAATTATTGTATATTGTGTAATATAAAGAGTAATGTACATTCTTGGTTTAAAAAAATAATCTGTTGAATGCCCTTCTTAAAAAAGTGACTTCATTGAATCAAACGGAGAGTGTTCCTAAAAATTTTTTGAAAAAAAAAAGCACTGCCTAAACGTATCATTTGATATTTCTTACAAATAAGTTGTAATTTTTTCTTAGAAGCATCAAATGTTTTTCCTTGTTATGTCTTCATAATTTTTGTTTCTGTTCTACTTTTTAAACTTAATTTTTGGGTGGCTCTAAACAAACATTGTTTATGTCTCTTATGGTTTTAGGTTTGCAGTGCACCAATTTTCCTGGTCCTGGTGTAGAAGTTATGGTTGTGAATAATCCCATGCGAGAGTTTGTCAGTAACGAAGACCGACACATCCATGAAACATTTGAAGAATTTAAAAATAAACATGGGAAATCATACTCGGATCCTCAAGAACATGAAAGTCGGAAAAATATTTATCGACAAAATTATAGGTATATAAAGTTATGATGCTAAAGAAGTATCGTAATGAATTCAGCAATGATAAAAAAATAAAAGTAATATTTATTATTGAAAGAATGTCTTGTGAAAATTAATTAAGTAGTATATTGTTTTTATTGTGTTAAATAAAAGGTGATCTTTCTAAATATTGCAATTACTAACTTAATGCTAGACCTAAGTACTACTTTTTATTTTTGTATTTTTAGTAATTTCATGTGAGAACTAATTTATATTAACCATATTTCATTCTTAAGTAAGCAACAGTTATTATACCCTATCACAAATTCTTTACATAATATAAAAAATATTGCAACAATTAAAAATAATAATTATCTTTTGCCTATATATGTGTGCATTTATAATTGCAGTTACTCAAAACACTAAAGATAATTCATGTAGCAGAAAAACTTTAGAGAAATTCAACTGAATTGTCTTTATGGCTCTTTTAATGATCTGTTTTCAATATATTAGTATTAAAAAAATCTGATGTGTACACTACATGACTTCCTTGTATGGAATATTAAATTATATGCATTTTTTTCTTGCATTTAATTTAACTTATTAGATTGAATTAAGCCTACTTCACCGACAGCGCATAAACCACAATAGAATAAATGCATTCTTTAAAATTCACTTTGTTTACCATAGCGACCACTCTGGCGCTAGGTTTACTTAACAGTATAATATTTCGTTCATATTATAATTCAGAATGCACAAAATTTATATCATTTAAAGAATTATCTAATCGTTGTCACATGTTCTATTCAAATACTATAAACAAAGCTAGAATGATGTATAAAAGAAATTAAGCAAACGAAAAAGAAACAGTTTTTCACAGACGATTGAGTATTTCTCATTCAATTAATTCAGTTTTCACTTCGCGACAAGGCAAAAATACATAAAAACTCAAAATATCTGTATTAAAAATTACGAAGTAAATCTTAAACACTTATTTCCTCGAAAAAATTCCAGAAACTATTAAGCATGATTTAACTCGCAATAATAAATGAAGGCATTATCTTTGTTGCTGCGAAACTTAGCCTCTCTAGATTGACAACAAATCTACGATTCTGCTGTTTCAAATGTAAACAAATATGTCCGTCATGTTATTTTAAACGTAAGGCTTAACTGCACTTAAACAGCTTTTAAATTGTTATTAATTGTCAAATCGAATATTGTTTGCAGATTTACTAAAGGCATAAAAACCTTAACAGGAAGATACGAACAATATAATTCAATAATTTTCAAAGCAAAAAATGCACAATTTACAAACATATAAATGTAAAGATACTGAGATTACTGAGCCGGGTAACAGAGTGGATATATAGAGTGGATATTTATATATGTTTGGTGCGGTCGATTGCAACCAAAATACGAGGTGCACATCTACATGTTATAGTAGTCCTTATATACAAAATTTCAACGTTCTGAGGCTACTCGTTTTTGAGTTATGCGAAATACGTACGTACGCACGAACGTATTACCTTTTTACTTCATACAAGGAAGTAAAAAATAAAATGTAATAATTGATATAAACATACAATTATTATTTGTTTGTTTGTTTGTTTGTTTGTGTGAATTTATGTAAACAGCCAAAAAAATTTGACAAAAGATTTCTCTTATTTGAAGTTTGAAAGCAGAATTAAGTAATACTAAAAACTTGGCGTATTAAAAAAAAGTATTTGCTGTTTTTCAACTGAGCTGATTACAAGTTTATAAAATTATTATAAAAATGGATTCGTAACAAATGTGAATAATGAAATTCTGCAATGCATTGTCAATAGGAATAAAATTTTGTTTAAATGCTGATTCATAACTTATTTCATTTCAGATATGTACAGAGCATGAATCGGGCAGGCTTGTCTTACAGTCTTAAAATAAACCATTTGGCAGATTTTACAGATTTCGAATTGCACAGACTTCGTGGACGTTTGCCATCAAAAGGATATAATGGTGGACTACCTTTCCCAACAGAAGAATTTTCTGATGCAATTCCTGAATTCTTAGACTGGAGATTATATGGTACTGATAATTCTATTTTCAACTTTTACATATCATGTCCTTTTTTCATATATATAATGTTTTTAAGTATTTTTGTGAACTAAAGTATAGTGTTTTCTTGCATTTATTGAAAGCAGTTTTACTTAATACAGTACAAAGTCTTTAATCCGGATATCCATAATCCGGAATGATCTATAATCACGACCTCAAAGCTACAAACTTTCTGCGCATGCATTACGCATAATACCTTTACGCATGCACATTTAATGTATAACGGATGGTATAAGCTAGGCTAAAATTGTCTAATTATCTTAGTTAATGTTGCAGATTGCGTTGTTCCTTAATCTTCTAATTGGATCGGGCTTATTATTATTTTTTGCAGACTGTTAGAGTAATTTTATAAAAAGTAAGCTTGAACTTTCGATTATGTCAAAAAGAGTTTCCGATTCTGGAGTGCCGAAGGATCTACAAAGAAAGCATGTTTCGTACCCATAAAAAAAGTGGAATTGCTGCGAAAAATGAAATGGCTCCTTTGTATTCTCCATCCGAAATTGTTATCAATCGCTGCTCAACGGACAAGCGCCTAGATATTGGGTTCTCATCTATCCCAGAGTTCCACACTCTCTTCGCTCGCAGTATGTCATTTCCGGTTGTGGGGAGGGATCTCAAATGATAGAATAGCTAGTGAACGGAAATCCTCGTATTGCAATTTTCGTAGTCGAGTGTTTACAAGCTAATTTGATCAAACATCTCTGATCATTTTAAAACAAAACGGTCCTTTTCAGGACCAAATGATCACTTTAATAAAGGGCCCTTTTCAGAGCCAAATGTTCAATCTGATGAAAAAAATCAAACTAATTCGGATATTTCTACGGATATGATTACATCAAACAAGTTTCCATGCGGACGTGGGAAATTCTTTTTTTCCAAATTTAATTTGAAAAGGCATGTAATAAAATGCCATCCAACGGATGAACACATATTGCAGTCTCTAAATTTAAAAGTATGTGAAACATCCAAACTCAAAATATGTGACTCTAGTTGTAATGGTGATCACATTTCAACTAAGAGACAGTATAAATGTCCTTTGTGTAAAGGGGATTTTGAAAATGAGTTGATAAATGAACACTTTTTACAAGTTCATGATGTAAAACTTGAAACATCAGAATTAAAATTTGAATCCTATGAAAGTTTTCTTGAATGGAAAGATGATTTAGAAAATAAAAGTCGAAATTTATAATACATGTATCTGAAAAACCAAATGCCACTGGTACAGTTACATATTTTAGATGTCACCGTTCAGGGCATTTTCATTCACAGAGTTCTGGAAAGCGACACATAAAGCTACTGGGCAGTAAAAAAATTAATGCTTATTGTCCTGCGAAAATAAAATTGGTCAAATCAAAACGAGAGGAATACTATGCATATTTCCAGAAAACACATGTAGGCCATGAAAATGATATGGGTCATCTTTTCCTTTCAAGTAAGGATAGAACCTTTATTGCATCAAAAATAGCTGCTAAAGTACCATTTGATGCAATTTTGGATGAAATTCACGATTCCATATCTGATTCTGGCCTCGAACGATTGCATCTAATAACAAAAAAAGATCTGCAAAACATTGAACGAAGTTTTGAGTTAGCTTCCAGTGCAGTAAAGCATAGTAATGGTGTTGGTGTATTTAATTATGGCAAAGCACACGAGGGCTATCTGCCTAAGGGAAGGGATGCCTTTGTGGAGGACTTTCTAAGGGAAACTGGCTCGTATACACGTTACACATGGGGAAAACCACGAAAACGCCCATGCAGCCAGCTCATTCGCGGGATTCGAACCTCGGACCGAACTACCAGTGTTCAGCGACTTTACTGCTCGACCGCTGGTCGGCTAAAGCATAGTAATGACTATGTGAGGGTTGACATGTGGGTGAATGAAATGCTTAGTTCACAGATTTCATGCGTGTTATATTATAAGGCACAAGGTGTAATATCCCCAACACATACATTCCTTAACGATGAAGATTTTATTCTCATCATAATGACAAATATGATGACAATAATCACAAAGTGAAATGCTAAAAAAATTTAGTTCAGACTGCATACAGTTAGCTACAAAAGTCTGTGTACAGACTAAATTTTAAATTAAAAAAAAACACTTAAAGCATAGAAAAATGTTTTTTAATCATTGCATATTTTTCTTCTATTAGCTAAAATTGTAAGCTTAAATAAAAAGTAAATAATATCAGTGTAATACTTTTTAAATTTTTTCAAAAAAACTCAGAAATTCCATCCAATAAGTCTGCGTACACTTTCAAAAAAAAAAAAAAAGTAAAATATAAGTTTTTTACATTACTTCAATACTTTGTAGGATATCCTTTATTCTTCAAAACAGCCTGCAGACGTCTGGGCATTGACTGAACTAGTTTTTAAGTGTCATCCGACATAAATTTCGCCCATTCTTTCTGCAATTTACTAATTAGCTCATTTCGCGATGTAATATTGTGTTTTCGAATTCGTTTCTCCAATTTTGCCCACAAATGTTCGATTGGATTGAGGTCTGGTGACTGTGGAGGAGTACGCAATTGTCTTGGAGTGTGATAGAGGAGATATTCCTTCACAATTTTAGCTCTATGTTTCGGGTCGTTGTCTTGTTGGAAAATAAAGGTATTAGAAAGGTTTAAATTTCGGGCACTGTGTCTCGTAGATTTTTCTTCAGAATATCCAGATAAACATACTTATCCATGACTTTATCAATAATGTGAAAATTTCCATCTCCTTTCGACGACATACACCCCCATACCATTACACCGCCAGCTCCATGTTTGACAGTTGGATTTAAATTTCTCAGATTCAGTTCTGTTCCTGGTTTTCTCCATACAATAGGGTGGCCATTAACTTTAAATATTGTAAATTTACTTTCATCTGACCAAATTACATTGTTCTAGAAGTCCTGCGAAGAGTTTAAATATGTTTTGGCAAAAGCAATTCTTTTCTTTCTATTTGTCTCGGAAATGTATGGCTTAGACCTAGGTTTGCGTCCATGATAATCGGCCTTTCGCAGCACTTTTCGTACAGTTTCAGGAGAAATTTCCTTGTTGCTAGTTAAAAAAATGTCTTTTGCAATGCTTGCAGCAGAAAGTTTAGGATTTTTGTTTAATTCGTAAAAGAATTTTTCTTTTTTCCCTCTGCGTTAGCTTCTTCGGTCTCCCACATCTTGGTTTTACAGCAAGACTATCAGTGTCAAGATAGTTTTGAATAACTCTTTGCCCACTAGAAAATGGTTTTCCAATGGTTTTACCAATATAACGAAGAGTTTTATCTTCATCTCTCAATTTGATAATTAGTTGTCTCGTAACTAAAGGAATTTCTTTATTGGTTGTCATTTTCGTCAAAGAAAATAGAAATAACAACTTCCAATCAACGTGAAATTTGCTTCGGAAGTCAATGACCTTGAAAGTGTAACCTTCTTTGCATTCTCAAGTTTGAAGTTTAAAAGTTAGATAAGAAATACCCCGCCTCCTTCGCGTTGTACGCAAACTTTATTGGCTTTGATTTCTGACCACTTATCTTTTAAAATTTAGTCTGCATAAATTATTAGATATGAAAATATTACAGTTAAATAATTTCAAAGTCCCTTATTCAAACTAAACATTTAAAAAAAAAAAAACTTTAAGAAACTACCCTTTTCGCACCATAAATTTGGATTTGATATTACTTTTCTTGATGTACGCAGACTTTATTGACTAACTGTATGTATAGATGGCACTCATGGCATGAATGCATATGGCTTTGAGCTTATAGTTTTATTAACTGTCAACAATTTAAGAGAAGGATTTCCTTGTGCATTTTTAATTTCGAATCGAAGTGACCAACCAGTTTTGTCTATATTCTTCTCAATAATCAAGCAAAGCATTGGCACATTACAACCAAAAGTTTTCATGTCAGATATGGCTGATTCTTTTTTTAATGTATAGGTTTCAGAGATGGGCACACGTGAAAAAAACGCCTCTTTTGTGCATGGCATGTTGACCGTGCATGGCGAAAGAATTTTAAAAAAATCAGTGGTAGAGAAAAACAAGCCCAAGAATATCAAGTTCTCCGCACTTCTTTACAAGAATGTGTATACAGAGTTTTAATACTGCAGCAGAAGCTGTGTTAAATTACTTGAAAACTGATCCCGATACACTTGATTTTGCTAATTATTTTTTGACACATTATTTAAAAGATGCAACTACTTGGGCTTATTGTCACAGAGTTCATTGTGGATTAAATACAAATATACATATTGAAAGAATGCATCGAACATTAAAGTACATATATTTATTTACATGGAAAAAATGTTAAAAGATTTGATAAGGCTGTGCATGCAATTATGAAATTTATTAGGGATAAAATGTTTGATAGAATCATTACATCAAATAAAGGAAAATTGACAAGTAAAATTAGAGACTTGAGAAACAGATATAAAACCAGCTTAACACTGTCATCACAAATTATACAAAATGAAAGTGGCTGGATTATTTCATCAGAAAACAATTTAGATTTGTATACCATACAAAAAGTGATCAGTGAGGGTAACTGTGAATTGAAGTGTACTGAATGTAATGTATGCATACACACATATATGTGCACATGTATAGATTCTTCAATTAAGTGGAATATGTGTAAGCATATTCATTATTTATGCCAGATGCAGAAAAACAGTCCAGCAGATACAGTTCATGATTCCTGTAATGATCCTTCATTGATAATAGACGACACAAATGATATAGTAATAGTAAATGAATTAATGCAAAGTACATCACAAACTTTGACATTAGCAGAAAGAAAAAATAGCACTGCTGAATAAATTTACAAGCTTACTAAACTCATAACAACACCTAATGAAGTAACTAAAATGGAGAAAATTTATAAATCTGCAATAAATACGAGTATACCACACTTTGAACCTCCAACTGTAAACATACCAGCTAATAAAAAAAATTGTACAGCAAAGAACCTTTAAACAAACAAAAAGAAGAAAAATAATGAAAAATTTAATTCGGACATCAGTACAAAATTTTCCTCTCACAGTTATGATAAATAACAAGACAAATATTCAGGGGCAACATTCT